CAATGCGTTCTTCCTGTTCAGCAATGCTTTTTAGCTTTTTTTTTTAACTTGCTGAAAACATTTTGAATTGAAAATGCAAGTGGTTTGTGTCACTTTTTAATTTTTAGGGTTTTTTTGTTTTCCCTTTTGTAACTTCTGTAAAACTCAAATTATTTAACACCAGGTTTTACCCCACCCAGTCAGATAGCACTAAGTGATTGGTTTTGCTTTTATTTAAAATCTATTGCACTGTTCCAGTAAAGCAGCAGTGCTTAGCCACTGATGATAAGTAGGCTGAATCAGTTCCTGAAAAATGTCCTATTTTAAAGCGCTTTCTGATTGATGTGGCACTTAAAAAAGGAAAGCCTGATGTCTTGTGCTTGTACTGCTTTGCTTGCAAGGACGCTTGTGTGCTTGCCATGCAAAGCAAGCTGAGCATGTGGAGAATTGAGCATGCCTGATCTATTCTTGGGGAATGAGTTGCTCCTGTGCACATAAGTGCCCTTCTTCAGTTTGACATATGTCATATGATTCATTGTTTGAATCTTTTCTCAGGTTCAGGGTTGGCATCGGAAAGCCACGTCCTGTGGTTTCTTGCTAGTTCCAGTCTTGGAAGGCCCATTTGCGTTACCCAGTTACTTATACGGAGACCCACTTCGAGCTCAGTTGTTCATCCCACTCAACGTTAGCTGCTTGTTGAAGGAGGGTAGTGAGCATTTGTTTGATGGTAAGAAATGTTCTTTGTTTTACCCCTTGGCGTACTTTTCTGCAAGCAGGTCCCTTCTGGCATGTAGCTGACATGAAGAACCTCATTTACCAGACATGCATTAGCTGGTTGAAGGGCCTGTTTTTACATTTCAGCAGCCACCCTCAGGAAGGTGGTGCTGGGAGGAAGCTGTGCCGGCAGGCTAATCAGCATGCAACGGTGTATGAAGTTGGCAGCAAGGAGTACCAAGGCACAGGAAAGGTGGTCTCCCCAGTGGTCTTTGTTGCCATAATGTTTTATACCCTTATAGAGCCTATATCAAGTAGTTACTCTGTTTGACATGATGTTATGCTGTAAGAATCTGTTTTGCTGGTAGACCCTGCCCACAGCTGCTCTGCATTTGTATCCTGCATTTGTTTATTCTCCCCCTCAGTGAGATTAGGCTTGCACGACTGCCATCCTCTTTTTTTTTTTGTTGCCATGGTTACATTCACAGTAAGAGTGTTTGCACATGAGATTAAGAGCTAGAAACTGCAATCTCCTTTTCTGCAATGTGACCTTGCCCTTTTGAGTGATGCTGTTGTGGTAAGTCTCAGGTGGAAGCTCAAAGATCAGAGAACTCTGTCCCCATGCAGAGAGAGGCAAAATCGCATCGTGAGAAGGGCTTTCTTTTAAAATAGTGAAGGTGATAGTTTTCTTTATTTTCATTAACCCTTGGCCCAGTGTCTAGGTGTAAATGTGAAACAATCGGTGGCAAATCCATATCCTGTGAGGTCACTGTAGCCCTGCTGACTTTGAACTAAGTATTTTCAGAGTGCCCTGTGGTGATACACAGCAGCCCACTCTCCTTCCTTGCCCCCTCCCACACACCCCATTACGTTCCTCTCCATCTCGAGAGACACAAAAGCTAAATTCAGGGATGAATCTGCTACTGGAGTGTACAAGACACATCTCTAAGATGGCATTCAAGGGACAGCTGACAGAAAAAAGTGTGACTAAAAGAAATGGCTAGAAAAAACAAAGTGTACAGAGGTCTTCTGGGGAAAACTGCAGTCTTGAAAAAAGAAGGAAATAAAGTGGCTTTAGTAGGTGATTGTTTCCTTCTTGTTTGTTTCAGGCTTCGAACCAGAAACATACTGGGACCGTATGCATCTCCTCCAGGAAGCAATAGCATACAGGTACGTACAGAGCAGAAAGGTTCGTATCTCCCTGGATAATGTAGGATGAAGACCGATGCTGAACAGTCACTCCTGAGTTGCTGCGTGGGTTCTGTGCTGTCTGCCTCTCTGAAGTCTGCTTGCAGATTATTAGACTAAAACATGACAAGAATGCCTGGAGGTGGTTCTGTGGGTACAAGGGGCAGGTAGATAGCGTTTCAGTCTGTCACTCATTAGCAAACTGTACTCTCCTCCTAGGGAGGGCATTGGCTTTGAAGGTGCCCTGTTATTCTAAGTTAGAAGCAGATAGATTGTAAATAGATTTCTTTCTGAGGAAGAGACAGTTATTTCCTTCATGTGTACTTAACACAGTCTTGAACTGGATGACAACCAACGATTGACAATAGGCAGAAGACTGGGATGTGAGCTGTACATAGGAGGTTGGGCCCAGTTTAAGAAGGAATTGTGGGAAACTTTGAATACTATCTAGCCTTACCCCTTTGTCTGCTTGAGCTGCCAGTTTGTTTCATGGTGTTGCTGCCAGTCTTTTTTGTGGTAGAGAGACTGCCTTTTGTAATGGACTTTAGCTTGGAAATAAGCTTTCATTAGCTTAGAAAGCAGAAGAGGAACAAGTATTCTCCAAACAGCAAAGAACTGTCAGGTGAGCTGCTTGAAGTTCTGCGTGGAATATTGCCCAGCATGAAAAAAATGATGTTACAGCTTGAAACATACCCAAGGAATGTCTGTCTTGACTATTGCTCTTCCCTCATTCGTGTGCAGCTGCCCCATTTTGTCAGAGACTGCTCAGTGCCCTCCCAAACTGAGCTACTGGTGCTCTTGTTTCTGGCATGAGTTAAGACAGAGATCAGTGTGGAGTTACAAGCTTTCACACTGTGCCTAGCAGGGGCAGAGAATATTTGGAGAAGCTCAGCTCTCCTCATTCCTTTTCCCCTTGCCTTCAGGCCATAAGAAAAGGGAGCCTTTGTGATAGTGGAAGGTTTTCCCTGGTGCCTCTGCCTTGGGCTGAAGGAATCCTAGCTGGTGGAGTGGCTGGAGTTTTTTGGTTTTGTTTTGTTTTTTTTTTTTTTTTTTTTTTTTTTTTTTTTAATTCCCCTGGTGTTTGTTTCTCCAGATTTGGATTTGTGCAAGATAAATACTCGGCTTCTGCATTCAACTTCCCAGCTGAGAACAAGCCCCAGTATATCCATGTCACAGGTGAGCAATATTTGGCAGGCACTGGGGCAAGGAGGAGGCTATTATAACCAAAAGAACCATTTTACATGCAGTTTGTGTCTTGTCAGTGATGTTGGTCCTCATTGTGTCCCAGTCATATGACACGTAGCTGTATCAGCCAACACAAACCAGAAAACTGGAGAGGCAGTAGGAGAAGCACAAAGTGTTGCTGCTGATCAGTGGCATTGGTTTGAAATCTTGCTTTATAGTGTCTCTGAAACTTTTCTTTCCAGGAGATGGAGAAATAAAAAAATACAAGGCAGAGCTTATTCCAAGTGCAGTGTAAATAAATGTGTATCTAGAAGCTAGAAGGAGGGAAAGGTGTCAGGACAAGTCAGTGCTCTGTTCTCATGCTTAAGGTCAGTTGTAGATGCATCTCTACCCATACACACTGTGTGGGAGATAGATGAAGCATTTAGGATCCACTTGCTCTCATTATTATTCTTCATAAATGTTGGTGATCTATCAGCACTTTTAACTAAGCTCCATGCATGGCATATTACAGTAAAATAATATGTTCAGAGGGGTTGCTGAGACATGAAGACAATGACGGGAAGAGAGCTTTTGGAAAATTGCAGAAGAGAATGGAAATTGATGTAAAATTAGAAAGATGGATCAGAGCCTACAGCTTTGCTTCATTCCCTTCTACCAAGAGAAAGGCAAGACTAAGTGTGGTCTCTCCCAGTGTTGTTGTTTGCAGGAGGTAGCATGTAAAAGCGAAGGAGGAAAAGTGTATCCCATTTTATCTTGCTAAAAGGCAATCGAATGAAACTCAGTCCAGTTTCCTTTTCAGAATTTAATGAGTCAGCTACCAGTCGTAGGGACTTAGGTCTGCCTAAGACTAAAGTCCTGTCTGTTTCCTCCAGGGACAGTGTTTTTGCAGCTACCATATTCCAAGCGGAAATTTTCTTGTGGGCAGCAGCGACGCCGGCGCAACTCCACTAGCTCCACCAACCAGAACATGTTTTGTGAAGAGCGCATTGGCTACAACTGGGCCTACAACACCATGCTGACAAAAACGTGGCGGTCCAGTGCCACTGGGGATGAGAAGTTTGCTGATCGGTTGCTGAAAGACTTCACAGACTTTTGCTGGAACAAAGATAGCCGGCTTCTTTCGTTCTGGACTGATTGTCTAGATAAGATGCATGCTAGTGCTCCGTGAAATAGGGTTGTATCTCTTAGGGAGACAGCTTGAAGCTTTACCTTGTGGCAAGGAAGTAGAGGTGAAGGATGACTGGAAAAGAGCCTCTCTATTGGATTCATCTTGAGGCTCCAAGAGGACCTGATCAATGTTGCTGTTGATATTCAACAGAATTTGATTAAGCCCTTGGAAAAAGAATCGGCGCTCTTGGCTTGCCAGTATCTGTCACCTGACCTCAGCTCGGTTTCAAGTAGCTGCAGTCCTTGATTGCCAAAACTTCAGTTAGAGCAGAGGTAAAGGAGGGAGCGCGCAAATGGTTTTCGAGGGCAGTTAGATTCAGCACAGAGTGTGACGGTAGCAGCTTACCATCATTGGAAATGATTGGTGCCGTTTGCATCTGATGTGCCTGACAGCAGCCTGCCTCTTTCCCTTTTGAGGTGTACCTGGTTGTGTGAATATGTAAGATAAAATGTGAGACACTTGTTACATTTCATACATGTAAATAAGTAAAAATGCAGAAAATTGAGTGACCTGATGTTTTGTTGTAACTCCAGACAGCAATATGGAATTGGGGAGTAAAGGAGAATAATTGCCAAAAGGAAATAACTGCTCCTTATGTCCAGCGTGACAATGAAATGCTCAAAGTGCAATGGTGGGGCTTTGTCCTTTAAGCATCCGGGACTTTCTGTCTCCAGCTCTGGATCTAGAACAGTGTCATGCAGCAGGAGCAAGGAGCCAGTTACTGTCCTGCAAGGCCGGCATCCAAGCCTATGGAGAAATCAAGGGCAACTGAACACAAGATGCTGCTGATCAGAGGAACAAGGAGGATTATGAGCAGATTTTTAGGATAAGTCTGCATGCAGCAAAACAAAGATGCCTACGCTCAAGTACGTAGTCTTTGTCCTTGCAGAGGAAGCTCGCATATGGGGTGTGGACTTAGCATGAGCTAGTTATTTAAGTGCGGATTCAGGGTGGGGTCAGGACCTGCACCCGGTAGCGCTGTGCGTGGGGGGGGTTGTTGACTCCTGCTGCGAGATCGTGAGATCGTTACTATTGTTATCTGTCCTCGCTAAACTGAAGTCAGCAGAGGGCTGACACGTTCATGGTGGTGTTCAGACTTAATTCAAGGAAAATCATAGCTGCCTCAGTTTTATCCCCTAAACTTGAGTCTGGATGACTCATCTGTTATTAGACAGTACCCACCTAGAAAGGTGGGTTTGAGCTGTGTGCCTCTTCGTTCAGTTCATCTAAGTGTGTCAAAACTATCGGTGCATGTCTGATCCCCATTAACATCTTAAAACACACTTTCTACTATGAAAGCAACTTGCTGCCATCTCTTCTACACAATTTCACTATGAAAGTAGCAGTGCGTGCAGCAGTTGCTTTGTCAAAGCAATTTAAGGGGGGTGGGGGTGGAGTGCAGGGGCAGCCTTGCAACACCCCGCGTGGGCAAGGACCTGGAGGCCAACAGCGGCTCCGCACCTGCAAACC